GAGGACATATTTTCCATCTGGTCTAAAACGGTTTTGTATTAAAATCGTTTGGCATTTCAACGGTGGATTAATATTACCTGTCAGGGGGTTTCATTCTTTAATATAAAAGGTAAATCCCTAAACCAGCAAGTAATTCATTATTTGTATTTCGAAGTTTAACTGAAATGAAATTTTTTATTATTCACTTCTTCCGACATTGGACAATAAGTGAAATATCCAAACCATTTTATATTTTTCAAATACACTAAATATTTCTAGCAAAGGCCGAAAGTATTAGATGGGCGAATTGAGGATCGAACTCACTCATCAGGGTCGTAATTTTTCTACTTTATCATCGACAAATCGAACTAACTATTACAAATGAACCTTTAGAGATTTACATTAAACCTTCAAATATGTAACGTTAGAAATGATGGTTAATACGGATCGCATTTAAAATACAACGGTGTCTTTGAAACTTGAGTTTTTCCAATTTCTCTAAAATTAGCTGTCAAAAATTCTGAACTCGTTTTGCCGGTCGGATTATCCAGAACAAAAATTTTTCTTCAAAGCAATTTAAAAAAACAAACAAAAAAAAAAAACACTAACACTTCACGTGACAATAAGTACTTTAGAAATTTCTCAAGGCCACTGACTTTGTGAGGATGATATTCACTAACCACCCCACGCGGTCGGATGTGGCACAAAGCCGAGTTTACTGTGGGGTATCCGAGCCTGTAGGCTCTATTGAAAATTGATTTTGTAAAAAAAAACGGGGTCTGGTAAAAAAAAAAAACTGTTAATAGAAGATACACAAGTCGATACCCGGTCATAATCGGCTGGGGTACATCATTTTAATATATATATATATATGATATTATAAATATATATAAAATTGCGAATCTAATGAACATACGGTCATCCCATAAGTTCTGTCCGAATTTTAACTTTTGTTAAAATGAACGAAATTTAAAGAAATTTTATAATGTCTAATGGAGCTGAACATTATTTTTATGTTTAGATGCATTTAAACTGATCAAATTTTATTTCAGAGAACAATAAAATTAAATTTTGTTTGATTAAAATCTTGCTAACATGGAAGTACCTAAGAATCATTTGAGGCACATAATGCTTTATGAGTTCAAGAAAGGAAACTCAGCAGCAGAAGCGGTTAGAAACATTCACTCAGTTTATGGAGAGGAATGTGAAATGAAAGAACTTGCAGAAGATGGTTTGCAAAATTCAGAGGTGGAGATTTCACCCTTGAAGATGAAGATCGAACCGGACGTCCAGTTGAGTTTGATGAAAAGCTTCTTGAAGCAGCCCTTGAAGAAAATCCTGCTTTATCAGTTGAGGAATTGGCAATGGTTCTCAGTTCAAACCATACAACTGTTCATCGTCATCTTCAACAACTTGGAAAAGTTCCTAAACTTGGAAAATGGGTGCCTCATGAATTGTCTGAAAACAACCTCAAATCCCGAGTTGACATCTGCTCTTCTCTCCATTCTCGCCAACTTGTTTCACCTTTTTTGGATAGACTTGTGACTGGCGACGAAAAATGGATCTTTTATCGAAATGTTAAGCGTCGTAGACAGTGGCTTGGTAAAGGGGAAGGACCCCAGCCACAGCCGAGAAGGAAACTTCATGGGCAAAAGGTTCTTCTTTCAATCTGGTGGGATCGCCAAGGAATAATCCACTTTGAATTCTTACCACCTAATGCAACAATTAATGCTCAAATATACTGTCAGCAATTAGAGCGTTTGAACCAAGCTTTGAGGAAAAAAAGACCTGCTCTAGTGAATCGAAATGGGTGATGTTTCATCAGGACAATGCGCGACCCCACACAGCAAGAATCACGTCACAAAAGATCGAAGAACTTGGGAGAAAATTCCTCATCCACCTTATTCTCCCGATCTTGCTCCTTCAGACTACCATTTGTTTCGTAGCTTACAGAATCATTTGGAAGAAACAGCTTTTGTAACACAGGAAGAGGTTAAAACTGACATTTGTGAGTTCTTCGAATCAAAGCCAAAAGAATTTTACAGTAATGGAATTAGTAAGCTTGTTAATAGATGGAAGGAAGTCATAGATAATCAGGGAAAATACATTGTTGATTGAATCTGTAATTAAATGTAACATTTGGTCACTTGTTTTCTTTATTCAAAATTCGGACAGAACTTATGGGATGACCTGATATATATATATATATATATATATATATATATATATATATATTTTAAACCATAAAAATTTTAAATGTTTATACATTCTTTTCATAGATACAAATATTTAAGTAAATGCTTGTTTTATAATAAGCAGTATTAAAACAGAACAAATGACGTCACAATAAAGATGTCTTAAAAAAATTGTCGGACTTTGTCAAGTTCATAATGTGTGACGTCATTTGTTTACATATGAATACGCTTCGATCAGATATGAATGTACGTGAGAGATTCATGGAAGACTGAAGTTTAAAAACAGTAAAATTGACCTTGCTAATCGCACGACCCTGTATGGCTCAATCGGTTAAGACACGTCAGGCTATATGACGGTTCTGTATAGGATGCAGGTTCGATTCCTCTCGGAGGACGAATATTTTCTATGAAAGTTTCTCGGACATTCAGGCCGGTAAATGTTGTTTTTAATACTGTTTATTATAAAACAGAGCATTTACTTAAATATTTGTATCTATAAAAAGAATACATAAACATAAAAATGTCTTAAAATAATTGTCGGACTTTGTCCATTTCATAATATATATATGATAAAATTTAGTTTTATGGTATGCTATATTTATGGGTTAAAGTGCTCAATATCAGGGATAGAGAGGGTGTAAATATAAAAGTAGACATTGAAGTCAACATCGAGAGGCGACAGGCTGTTTCCTGTTAAACGCCATATATGTGCATGTGCGTGTGTATGTGTTTACTTGAAAGTGACTGGTAGTGTATTCCTGTTAACTATTTTATTATGTTTTTCTAAACAGAAGTACCTTGACAGTTATTTTCAATGAAACATGTATTAGAGAGGGATTGCTGCGCACTTAAATAAAAAAAAATACATAAATACAAATAGCTATATCTTGAGGTTGCGCTTTCTTGAAAAAATATCCTATTATAATCGTACTTGCCCTTCTCTTCGTTAGCTTGCACGACCGTTACGCCCTGCCAATACACTATAAATAATGGACTATTCAGTTTTGATAGGGGGGAAGAGAGGAAAATTTTTAGTTGGTTTCAGTTTACAATGAAAGTTTGCGTCAGTAGTTCAAATTCTGAGCGACTGATCGGTTCATTCTCTGTCTACGGAAAAATTAAAGAGGAACCCGGAGGAGGCTACTTTTCGAAGGGCGGAGTCTCCTTCAATCTTCTAAAACCGGCCCTGAGCCCGTTTATACGGGTTCAAACGGGCATATTTTGGGCCGAGCCCACGGGCTTTTCTTTTCTACCTTTTAAACAACCGACCTTGTGTCACATGTTGCCCCAGTGGGGGGACTCAATATCGTAAGACAATGAAAGAAAGCAAGAAAGAAATGAAGTGAGAATCAGATTAAGCTATTCTAGTTTCAAGATATGCTATATGGGTTAAAGTGCTCAATGTCGGGGATAGAGCTGATGTAAATATAAAAGTGGGCAATGAGGTCAACATCCAGGGGCGACAGGCTGTTTCATGCTAAACGCAGTCTTGAGGCCATAAACTTTTTTCTCGAATATTTATATATACCGAACAGTGATGCATTGTGGGTAGTCTATTGCAATATTCTAACGGTTATTTTGCTGGGTGGTAACGGTTATGTTTCTAATTATTATCCGAAGAGACAAACAGCGTATCGGCAGTCTGTGCAATAAACCATCGGCAAAAGTTCTCCCGTGGAGAGTGATCAGAGGGCGAAAGACCCTGCACGCACCTGCAATATATGATATGTATACAGGAGCTCACTCTTGAAGCATCTTCCATCCGGAACTATGA